ACGAAACTTCTCGCGGCCGGTCATCTCCAGCAGTCAGAAGAAGAGCCCGCCGCGGCCGCTGAGGGTACGGCTGGTGCATTTACTGGCCCTGAAACCCTACCGCAAACCCGAACTCCTGGTGCGGCTCACGAAGGACGGCCTGTCTCCTCAGGACAAGGAGACGCTGGACTGCCTCCTGCAACAGGTTCATAACCAGTGCTAATAATACTGTGTGATTACTTTATACAGTTACATACAGACACACACGATATACATACTGCATACTGTAAATATAGCACAAGTATACTATTCTGAGCATAGCCAATGTAACCAAAAACCTCTTTCAGAGTTTGGTTTATGACTCATTTAGTTTTTGACCCATTCAAAATCATGTTTTTGAACTCTACTTAGACATTATGGCTCAACCTAGACACATTTGTCATTACATAGATGATAAACAAGCTTAGCCCTGCGTAAAGCCAGTGCATATAACACACAGGCTGTCAGCGTGCCGTTGTAGTGTTTGTCTGGTGTTGAAATGCAGCGCTTGTACTCTTATTTTTAGAAAGCCAAAGACTTAAGCCTGTTGTTTTATTTTGTGTTTTATTTGGTGGGGTGTAGGTGGCTAACCTGAATAGTAAGGACAACACCTTCACATTGAAGAATTGCTTGTTTAAGGAAGTTCAGAAGGACTGGCCTGGTTATACTGAGGTGGACCAGCAGATTCTGAAGAGAATTCTTGTACGGTAAGCTTCATTTTTACAGTGAATTCTTTTTTCTTTTTCCTTTTTTTTTTTTCTCTCTTTGGAATTTATTTAATAGTGTTTTTTTATAATTATTATTTTAAGTTATTTTAATTATTTTATTTTAAATTATTACTTTATTTTCTGTGATTTTATTTGTTTTTTTTTTATTTCGACTTCCAGTACTGATGTCTGTATACATGTGCCCTTTTTTTTTTTTTTTTGCGGTTTTCTAGGTGGTGTTTAAGTGATTTTTATTTACATTTTTATTTTATTTTGACTCCTACTGCTGATGTATTCTTTTCTCCTGGGTATTAATTTTATGTAACTAGGTGGTGTATTTTTAAGTGATTTTTTTTAATTTTATTTTATGGTTTTATTTTATTTCGGTTCCTACTGATGTATTTCCGCTGGTATTCATTTTATTAAACCAAGTTGTATTTAAGTGGTTTTTAAGTGTTTAAATATTTCATTTTATTTTGACTTTATATAATATTATATTATAGGGTAATTAAATAATTCTTTGCGTATTTCAATATTTGGCGTATTCTCAAATGAAGGTGGTTCTTCACGCTTAAATTGCACCAATGGTAGGTATATATTATACACCAATATTTACACTTCTATGGAAATGTCATTTTTTTAAAAACGGTAGTATTCATTCTCTGCCATGCAGTAGTGTATTGCATAACCAAATTTCTACCATTTGATGCTGGTATATTACACACCAGTTGGTTCACAATATGTCCAAAAACCTTTATCTGCCAGGTGTTGTAGTTGTACAGCTGCATTCACCCTTGATCTCCGATCTCTTCTTTGGCTCTACATGGAGAAGTCTGGGTTCCCATGAACTCTGGGGGAGGAAGACTGGACCCTGGAAGCTAAATTTAGAGAGGCCATGCTGCGTGCTAGACTGGCGAGAACATGGTGTTGTGATATCAGTTCAAAACAAAATGGAAATATTTGGCGGAAACAAACCCAACACTCAGGTGGAACACATTCCACACTCTTGCACTTTGAAACCCGGTGGCAACGCTTATCAGCCGACAGGCCTTTTTACACCCCCACCCCCCCCTCACACCCACCCACTTTCCCATCTGGTCGCGGACTCCAGGCTGTCACGGAAGAGCCGTGGCTGTGTGTAGTCGGGAAGTTAGTGATGCAACCTTATTCCAGCACATGCTGATCCATGTGTGTGGGTGGCACAGGTCCAAGGTCCAGCCGTGCATGGGGGCACACAGTTCGATAGAGACCGTAGCGACTCATGCCTCCTACTCTCAGGCATAGTCCCTGGTCCGTGTACCCTTGATGGAGGTGGGGCCTGCTATAAGGATGCATTTGCCCATGTCATACTGCCCCCTGTTGACATACAAACCTCAAGCAGCATTATAAACTTGATGGCATTAAATGTATTAAAGTTGATAGTTCTGCCAAAATTGAAAGTTCTGACCTCATTTACTCACCCACAGGTTGTTCTAAACCTGTATAAGTTGCTTTCTTCTGCTGAACACAAAAGATAACATTTTGAAGAATGTTGGTAACTGAACAGTTGACGGCACCATTTGACTTCCATACTAGTATTTTTTTATTTATTTTTTTTTCCGTACTGTAGAAGTCAACTGTTTGGTTACCAACATTCTTCAAAATTTGTTTATTCAAAAATAAATGGCTGAAAGAAACTCATACAGGTTTGGAATGACTTGAAGGTGAGTAAATGATAACAGAACTATTTTTATTTTCAGCTGAACTATCCCTTTTAAGTGCACTTAATGCGTTTACCATATTTGACATTATGGAAAAATAAACTGCCTAAAGTGATTGGAGTGCCCATCCTCTAACATGTGGTGGTGTTTCACTTAATAGCGAAAAATGACACCATTTATACCACTTGACAATTTGTATTTGTGCTCGACATATTTTGGTGTGTATGTATTGTTTTAAGTGGTATATCGATTTCCAAACTGCTTCATCTGGTTCGGTCTTCATGAATACTAGTCAGAACAGTCAAAAATGCTGCTGACAAGTTATGGACAATATTTGTGTAACCAACATTTCATTATTAGCAATCAAATGTCTCAAAAAGACGTCTTTGGCAAGTTCAGATGGGGCTAGTGAATGTCAAATATTGTCTTGAATTTCCTTACTGAATTTAACAGGTTTGAAATATATTTCTGTTACACTTGCAAACCAATTAACGGGCCTACATTTGCAGCACAATCCACAGCACTTTTCTAGATTAGTCAGGTTTTTTGGGATCTCACTGAAGCAGTTCCTTGGTTCTTTTTAAACTGATGATTCTCCGTCTTTCGTTCTCCACAGAAAACTGTGTAAGCCTCAGAGCAGTGGCCCTGTGCCTGGGGAGAGTCCGGTCAGCCCGCATAAAGAACCAGCCAGCAGCTCGCCCTCTCAGGTCAGCCTTTTGCCCCGTTTTAGACCCGTCAAAGCTGGTTATGATGGATCTGCTTGGATAATGGGGAAATATTGAGGGTTAATCCTTAACTGCTCCCATATTTCTTCATATTTCATCAAAATCCTCCGCCTCTGACTTTTCTTTTTGGCGGACGTGATGAAGCCCTCGCTCACATACTAACACATTGTTTTGCTGACAAATCAAATAATTTTAGTGTGCACGATTCATTAGTGCATGTTGTTATTCTGAAGTTTTACTTCATCTTTGACCAAAGTATAATGATACTTATGTTAAATTGAACTTTCTCTGCCTCTAAAATGCTGGAATTAACCAACGTTAACTAATTAAAACTATTAATTGCTAATTAATATTTGACTGTTTAAACATCCCAATTTTACGAACCATCATTGATTGTGTCCAACAGAAACGACCTGCAGCAGAGTTCATCGATCCTTTGGCCAATAAGAAACCCAGAATATCACATCTAGCCAGTAAGTCTACAGGGCTCATCAATGGCAAACTGAGTTCATCCAATGGGAAGGACTCATCTAGTTCTCAATCAGCAGAGACGTCGTCGAGCTCCCACTTCCCTCTGCTGGAGATCCCCCGACCCTTCGACCCCCTTTCGGATGTCAGCAACGACTCCAATGGCCGAGACTGTGAAAGTCAGGAGGCGGCGGTGGCGGAGAGACTGAGTCAGCCCCCTTCGTTCGCCCCTAGCTCCACAACGCAAGAGGATGGCCTAGGCTCCACATCCCCGGCCCACAGCAGCTTGGACTGGTCTCAGACCCAGAGCGCTCAACCCTCCCTGCATGGCAAGTCAAAGAAGAAGTCCAAAAAACACAAGGACAAAGACAAGTCCAAGGAGAAAGACAGGGACCGAGAGCGGGACATGAAGAAGGAGAGGAGAGTTGATGAAGACCGTGGCTTGGATCAGAGGAAACCCTGTGACGTCACAACCAGCGATAGGAGCCCAGGTGCGGATTGGTTTCTCTGAGTCATTTATGATGTCAAGGGTTATGGCAGGGGTGCCCAAACTCGGTCCTGGAGGGCCGGTGTCCTGCAGAGTTTAGCTCTAACCCTAATCAAACACACCTGAACCAGCTAATCAAGGTCTTACTAGGCATACTAGAAACTTCCAGGCAGGTGTGTTGAGGCAAGTTGGAGCAAAACTCTACAGGACATCGGCCCTCCAGGACCGAGTTTGGACACCTCTGGATTATGGGGTCAGAAACTACCTCTGTAGTGAACGGATGAACTTTTGACACACTTGAAATCTAGTTTATCGTCTCGATTAGATCTGTGAAGGAAAAGTGTTCAAAAGTGTTTTTACATTTCATTTGTTGTTTAGTTAACAGCTAGAAACAAGTCATTATGTAAACAACCAACTTGGTTGCTAATTGAGGTTTTATTAAATGGTTGTTCAGGCAGTCCACAAATCAGATATGTAGTCCAATGACTGACACATTTGGTTAGTGAAGTCATTAGTGGAGTAATCATTCAGACAACCCACTAACTTGTTGAATAGTCCAACAACCAGCCTAGTCATTGATGAGGATGATTACTTGAATAGCAGTTCAGACAGCCCACCCCACCAATTAGTAGTCCAAAACCAACACAGTTAGCTAGCGGAATATAATTGTTCAGACAACCCACTAACTAGTTGATTCATCCTCAATGACTAGGTTAGGTGTTGGACTAATACTTGAATAGTAGTATAGACCAGCGTTTCCCAACCGGGATGTCGTCTGTTGAGAGCAGGGGTGCCGTGTAAAAAAAAAAAAATATATATATATATATATAATTTTTTTTTTTTTTTTTTTTTTTTTTATTTGCTAAAATGTTAAAAAAATCATCTGTTATATAATATCAATTTCTGATGTCGCCAAGATGCACTGAAATTCCGGCTGCCGAAGATTAGTTCACCTCTCAGGTTTCACTTTCACGTGGTGTGACGCTCTGCGTACTATCCCGCTCTATGCATGTGCGCTCCGCTCGCACCACTCATATATCGTTCATGCTCATCGAAACCGCAAAGTCCACTCAAAAATCGAGCCGACAGGAAACATCGATGTAGTACAGTATTGTTTCTGTTTGCAATAGCCTTACTGTGTTGTAACAAGGTGTGGTATATGGGCAAATCTGTTAACGCTGCCCTCTCATTCATTGATCTGCTAACCGCCATGTTATGCTCACGTGTTCTGATAATAATAGCTTTCTAGGACTAAACATTATTTGGATAATTGGTAAAAAAAAAATCTCTTAATAACCCTACTGTTAAACCTACCTGAAAAACTAAAAAGCAATTTATTTAATTTGTAGGCCTATCGTTATTTTTATTTGTGCTATCATTAGTAATTTCTTTTGAATTGAATAAAAAATGACAAGCAGTCAGTAATAAAAACAAAGTTTGAAATCAAGCTATCGCGTGCCACTGCAACAAAATTACCCCACTATAAAATCAAAAATGCACTGAGTGAGCAAACATTTGTGAGAGTTATAATGGTAATTGAACAACATTTACATATGAATAAAAGCCTACATTAAAATTTGTCATATAAATTGGTCTCTTCATTAGAAATTAGCCTACTGATTGCCACCAATGGACAATTTTTTTTAATAATATTAAATATATCTGTATGACCATATTCTGCAGTTCTTCCCTGCTGTACCGAATATCCATACTTTTCAAAGTATCATATCGAAGTTAGAAATTCAAGTATTGTGACAATTAATTTTGTAGGGTGCCACAAATTTGTTAAAATTTCCAAAGGGTGCCGCAACTAAAAAAAGGTTGGGAAACACTGGTTTAGACAGCCCACCACAACAACTACCAATTTAGCAGTCCAACAGCTGGACTAGACTGTTAGTAAGGTCAGTTAGTTGAATAGTCGTTCAGACAGCCAACCTATTGTGTTAGTGAGGTCGATTAGTTGAATAGGTATTTGGACAACCCTCCAACTATTTGAATAGTGGTCCAACAGTTGACACACTTGGTTTGTGAGATCATTTAGATGAATAGTCATTTAGGCAGCCCAGCATTTGGACATCCCTCCAACTAGTGGACTAGTTGTCCAACTGGTGACCGACTCAGTGAGGTAATTAAGCTGAATAGTCATTTAGACGGCCCACCAACCAGTCAATTATTACTTCAACAACTGACCTAGTCAGCCAGTGTGGTCACTTAGTTCAAACAACCCACCAACTAGTCAATTTTCAACTAGTATCTTTTTGAAAATGTGACATTTTGGAAAACCCCCATTCAGCTTCTGTTTCTAGCAGGTGTATATCTCTGGACTGACATCATTGCACACTATCCTTGTCCCTCAGTCTGCAGGATAAAACTCTGTCCTTGAATTCACCTTATTTCTTTTCAGGTCTGAACGGAACGTGCCACAGCTCCAGTATTCCTGCATCTTCGTCAGAGACAGCAGACTATTTATTGTAAGCACCTCTCTGTACATTATACATTGCCAAGTTTTCTGCTCTTACCTTTTGCATCAGATATATTTTAAAGTGTTATATAACTGAAAGAAAATAACATTAAACTTTTATGACGTTTATAAAACAATGTTTGTTTGTTTTTTCCGCTTGGTTTCCTCAACAGAAAGTACACCGTGATAAGCTCACAAGAGCAACGTCAGAGTTACAAAAATGACTTCAACGCAGAGTACAGTGAGTACCGGGGCCTCCACGCACGGATAGAGAGCATCACCCGACAGTTCACTATACTCGACTCCGAGCTCAAACAACTCCAGCAAGGCACCGATAAGTATAAGGTATCTTTGCTGAAAAGCCCACACCGAAAAATACAGTACATCCACCCATGCATTTGATTACAACTTCCTAATTTTTTATTAATATGCTGTCGACGCCAGCCTGGTCCCAGTAGTTGTCTTCCTCTGGAAAATGAGAAATTAAAGAATGTAGTTGACTCATCCAGGGTCCTAGCGTTGTTTTCTTTTTTTTGATAAATTGGAAAATGTTACTATGAGAGAGGTAAGAGAAGAAAAACAACTAGTCTTGGAGCATAATGAATAAAAACAACACAATCAACCGACTGATTAGAGGCAATGATGTTAAATAACCGGAGCATAATGTCATGAGGATCATTTATTTCTTCTACACACAGTCATAATCGGGCTCAATAATGAGGATGGCCCACTGGCGTCAGCTGACAGAACTGCTACTTGTATTATAGCTGTAAAACTGTCGCCAGATCTGGCTTAAAAAAAAAAGCAACCTGGTCTAACAAAACCATTAAAGAGGGCGAAACACGGGAGGAAATGTATGCAGTGTGCATAAATATGTTCATTGGGAGCAATGGAGATCTTGGAAAAAATCCTAACTGAGCCAGCAGAAATAAAATGTATTTACATTTTCTATTATATGATTTGAGGAGGTAAATTGATCCTATAGCTTTCCATAAACCTGTAGGAAGAGACCGAACGCAATTTGAAGAGCTCATGTAAAAATATCAGACTACTCTGCATGTCTTAGATCTCATTACACATTTAAAACTACTATATTCGAGCAGGAACTTCATTGTAATGATCTGTTTGTTCTTTTCACAGACAATCCACAATCAGATACTTCAAGAGTATCGCAAAATCAAAAAGGTAAGCGGACAGTCTCTTCCACTTTTTTGTTACTTAACATCCAAAATGCTTCTAGTTCAAATTGCTGATTGCATTTTTTTTTTTTCTCCCAGACTAATCCCAACTATAGCCAAGAGAAGAACCGCTGTGAATACCTACACCACAAACTGGCACATTTAAAAAAACTGATCGCAGAATATGATCAACAGCAACTGCAGAACTGCCACTAACAAGATTTTATTTTCTCCTTAATCTTTCGGTCTCTTTTGAGAGGGAGAGAATGTCTGGATTATTTGTTTTGTTTTTTTGGCTTGCTCTAAAAACAAGTTGCTCTAATGTAAAATGCCACAAAACGGATTTCTTTTTTCTTTTTTCCTCGTAGTGGGCCAAGTGCTCTAGTAAGGACAATGCATACCCATTATTTTCATTTTTTTATGGGACTATAGGGACATGGGTGTACTACTCAGCCATGCTTACCTGTGTAGCCTAATGCATTATGGGATTGGTTGCCAGCTCCCTTCCCTTCTCAAAGGTCTCAGAGTGTGAAAGGAAAAACGGTTCTTTGGGAGATCTTTCCGAACGGGGATAACTAACACCCATTCCCAGAATGAGAATTTAAGGTTTAGAGAAAAATTTAATGGATGTTTTTTTTTTTTTGCTGTATGTACTAAAATGGAAGGCCCTAATGCTAAACTATATTTATTTTCGTCTTCCATAGGTATACATCCGTCCGGTTATGATTTCACACAGCTAAACCTCTCGTCCCATCCCTTTGGTCTGTCTGTCTTTAATCTGTCAGTATTTTATGCAAAAGCTGCCTTGGATTTCGAGAGATCCCGATTGCAGTACACCTTTTTTCCCCCCTTGTTTTCTTATTTTTAGAGTGCTGTAGTGTCTGAAATAGCACTATTTGGCTCCTTATTTTGTGCAATGCGCTAGACCATGTGAAATGGACATGAATCGGATGCCCATGGGAGAAGATAACCGTCTGTTTAGAGGCTTGGACAGTATCAGTATTAATATGGTAGAGCTCCATATAGAGGAACTTGCCATTCCAGAGATGAGGGAGCGCTTCTGTTTTGGCACGTTTTTACAATATTTCATGCTTTTAACTTAAAAAATATTACTTTATCACAACCCGAATCATGAATCAGATGTGGTTGTACAAAAACGTGACAAATCTTATAAAATTGTGCCTCATATGAGCCGTTTGTCGTCCCTCAGGTATCTACAGTAATCCAGTATTGCTAGTTATGAGTGTGACGGTAACATCGTGTTTGCGGCCAAACTTTCTTGGTATTCTTCCAGAAAATAGTGATTGTATCCCTTTAACGCAGCCTTGAGGTATTTCCGAGGGGCTGGTTGGTGAAGACAACAAAAAAAATGGTAGAAACGCAACCTTGGCTCACTGTCTGAACCCTTTAGCAATTCAATGCTTGCTTAAATACTGAGTATTTGTGGGGGGTTGGCCATTTCTGACAGTATTTTCATTACCAGATGACTGTTAAATTCCATTAAGGCATCTCATCGTGGAGGATCCATTACAAACCTCTGACGTGCTCCTCACGTTACCGTGGCATCTGCCTTCGTGGACGCTCAACCACAAGTTGTTCATCTGTCGGGTCCTGTTGAAGCATCAATTGTACTTCTGATATCTGAACTCTTATGTTTAAATATTACAATTCAGCACTTTGCTCAGCTTCTTGCTGTTACTCTTACCTGGGTTTTGTTGCAAGGAGACACTTGCCTTGTCTCTGTCTGTGTATGCATGCTTTCTGACTGTTGAAGACCTAAAAAAGGTTAAAGGCCAGTGTTTACAGTGGCTTTACACTGCTGTTTAATGTTCAGAAGCCAAATATTTCTCAAATTGCCCTGAATTTACCTGGCTAGAATCGGTTCAGTGTTACAATTTTAGGAGCGGAATTACAAAAATTGAAATAAAGTGAATTTGACTCGTGAATCAACTGAGAATAATAATTCTCATTCACAAATGTACCAGGTCAGCCACAAACTTTTAGCTCCAAGAATGATTTTTATTTATTATTATTTTTCAACACTTATCATGATCTGCTTTATGGTCTTTTGCGTTACTTGAAGAAAGAGTCTGAAAATGATGCACAAATTCAACGAATATGATTGATGTTTGGATTTGAAACTGCTACGATACTTTGAAAAATGATGAGACACCTGGGGGGGGGAGTGTGCCAAATGACCTGTTGTATAGGTTTGCATCGGATGAAATATGTTGCTGTTTTAGCAAAATAAAGGGAGTGGGAGGAGCTTTGGGAGGAAGGCTTTGAGATGTCAATGCTAAAACCCAAAGCGCTTTTTGAAGCAGCAAGGGACTGAGACTGAAATTTATCTTGGTATTTCAATAAAACTCTTGGAAAACTTGCGTTTTATTCCAATGTTTTGCGTCTTGTGTGTTCTAATGATGTTTCTTTACCTCATGCTCTTTTTGCTGTTAACGAATGCATCACCACACCAAATTTATACTGCAAAGGTGGCACAGAAGCACTTCTGAAAGGGCATTTTGGTGTCATTACACAAACCGTTTAATGCTGCTCAGAGGTGGCATAAATGCATTTACATAGCAATTACACCTTTTATACAATGGTGAGATGCTAGGGGCTGAGGTGGGTTCGAGCAGGCATAATTTAGCCTTGCCATAATGCAGCATTGCGTAGTGTAGCCATAACTTGGCAGTGTAAAGATGCCTCAGTTCAATCAATGGCTGCTAGATGGCAGCACAGGTTTTATTAAGCTGTCGTAGTTTTCTTATTTGGACAGTTTTATCTGGATAAATAGGACTCTATATCTGTTCCTAAATATCATACCGTGTGCTCTACTTTCCCCAGTGGCTTTCTGGTACTCGAAACCCTCGCGTTTTTATAAGCACCCGTGACAAATACTAAAGTCTTGAGTGGAAGACGCATGGAAGGGAAATGTCACGTGTCAGTACTTTGGCTTGACGCCGCTACGTTGGCCTCACTTTTAGGGGAGCTCGAGGAGAGTCAGCGAGTTCAGTCTGGGCCCGCGCCAGCCTCTCGTTCCTGGCTCATTTGCGTCTATCCCTGTCCTCGTTCATCCCGTTACAACACACGGAGCCCCCTGACAGCTGGAAGACGCCCTCAAGATTTAAGGCTGTCCTTCCTGTTTGCCTAGGCCCGCAAATTACGCTCTTAATGTCCGCATTTACGTTTCCCTCAAGGTTGTGGGAATGTGGTTTTAATATAGCTCTGCGTCCGTGGTTTGGATGGGTTTGCTATTCATATACATGCTGTTTGTCCACATTATTTTAGAAAGCTGAGTTAAATTTCACTAGCCACACCCAGGCCTGATTACTGCCAGACCTGTTGAATCAAGAAATCACTTAAATAGAAGCTGTCTGACAAAGTGAAGCATGCTTAAAGAGCAACACATTATGCCGCGATCTAAAGAAATTCAAGAACAGATGAGAATCAAAACAGTTGACATGTATCAGTCTGGAAAGGATTATAAAGCCATTTCTAAGGCTTTGGGACTCCAGCGAACCATGGTCAGAGCCATTATCCACAAATTGAGAAAACTTGGAACAATGGTGAACCTTCCCAGGAGTTGCCGGCCAACCAAAATTACTCCAAGAGCACAACGACGACTCATCCAGGAGGTCATAAAAAAACCCAGAACAACATTTAAAGAACTGCAGGCCTCACTTGCCTCAATTAAGGTCAGTGATCATGATTCAGCAATAAGAAAGAGACTGGGCAAAAACAGCATCCATGGGAGAGTTCCAAGGCATCCATGGGAGAGTCAGCCACTGCTGACCAAAATACTTATTTTCCACCATAATTTGCAAATAAATTCTTTAAAAATCCTACAATGTGATTTTCTGGATTTTTTTTTCTCATTTTGTCTCTCATAGTTGAGGTATACCTATGATGAAAATTACAGGCCTCTCTCATCTTTTTAAGTGGGAGAACTTGCACAATTGGTGGCTGACTAAATACTTTTTTCCCCCACTGTATATATATATATAATCCTGTCATGTTTCTTTAGACTTCAGCAAGAAGGAACTTGACATTTCAGTAGTGGCAAAATATTTAAAGTCTTGATGTCATCTAAACCAGTTTAGTGCACATTTAGAATGAAACAGCTGCTTGTTATGATCGGTGCTTTTTCAACATATCTTAACCTAAAACACATGCCACAGCTCACAGATGTACTTCAGATTTGTTCCTGGTATTCGTTATATGAGGTTTTAGTGTTGTGTAAATACAAACTATATTTAGGTTCTAAAGGTGGGACACGAGAAATGACAAACCATTATTAATAGAAAACCAGTAATATGTGCCAATATGCTTATATTAGAACATTATATAGCATGAAATAATATTAACAGATTATTTCACTCAACAAAATGTATGGTTACCACAGTCATAATAAAACTATGGTCATTGTTTTAACTACAACTATCATAAAAAAATTAATCATTTAGATTCTAATACTAAGATGATAATACATAATGTACAATAAATAATTGCTTTGGTAACATATTTACTTCCAAATTACAAAGTGAATCCGCTTTGCTTGCTCGTCACTGCATGATTTTTCCACTATTACAAAACCAAAACATTGGTTGCAGTGCTGGGTAAGTTACTCTTTAAAAATATGAATGAATTACAAGCTACTAATTACATCTTCAAAAGTGCAATTACTGTACTAATTACTGTCTAAAAAAAGTATTGCATTACTAATTAGCAAACTTTCTAAATCCTATATCAACCTCAACCAGTTGAACAATCAAGTATAAACATGAAACTGCTTTTAATTTTTCCAAATTAATTTCAAATGAATTCTGTTTTAATTCTTTCAAATAAATCATATACAATTGCATAAACTATTCTTGAACTGTATTTGAAATATTTATAAACATACATTACATAGAGTATTACAGTATGCAATGCTATCTATCTGAGGATTACAGGCTCTGTATAAAAAGTGTCTTTATGCCACCATCATTTTGAATAATTTCTCAAATCTTTCCAAGAAAATTAATAAAAATGCTATCTAAAAAGAAAGCTAATATATTAGTTTCACTTCACGTTTTCACTCTGCATTTTAAGTTGACAGTAACGGCCCACTAAACTGATCCTGATAGTAAACATGGGTCTTTCACAGTCTGCACATGTGCTGGGGGGAAAAAATGGTACGGCCCGCCCATTCAACGGTTATTGGCACCGGCATCCTGATTCAAACTGCCCGGTTAATTGTCGATCCGTGTCATCGTTACCCAGCCAATGTAAGAGAGTTGTCGAGGAGAAATGCCCGCCGTGTGTGTGTCAGAGAACAGACGCCTCGCCCCTCTCGTTTTATACATACCGATTTCCACTCTCCCTTTCGTTTCGGTTTTGATGGTACGACCTGCGGACTACGAGCACGAACGAATCTTTAACACGAGTCGGATCTTTTCAATGAATCAGTTGAACCGCTTGCCAAAACCGATGTGAGCGATTCGTTAAAGGGACAGTTCACCCAAAAATGAAAATGGTCTTCATTTACTCACGCTCGTCGCCTTTGTTTAATCTGCGAAACACAAATTAAGATATTTTTAATGAAACCTTTTCATTTATGAGGGCACTATCCCGGTTTGGACGTTTATTTCTATACACGTTTTGTGTAGGTTTCTATGGTAAGGAACCTATATAAACATACATTTGTGTATGTTTCTAAACTGGGAAACATTAATTACAATAAACATTTCGTAATAAACGAGCCTAAGGAACGTTTTGGACGCCAGTGACCGTAATGACATAAAAGACGCGTTTGAGCTGTTTTTCACAAGAATTGTTCAAAAGAACCGATTCGCAGAAATGATTCGAACTTCCCATGACCAATATACACACTCGGGCGCATTTTTTTTTTCATCGTGAGCCGGTCAAGATGGCGGCGGCACTGCCGAGACGGAGCAGCCGCTCGGCTTAACCGATCATTTTCTCTAATTCACCGGGGCAGATCGGACTCAAATCGTGCAGCGCAGCCTGCAGCCTGCGATATCCAACGTGAGATCCTGTCGCGTTAAACCCGGGGGTTTTTTTCACGGAAAATGCTCTTACTCTAGTTTATGTGTCGCGTCCATTAGCTGTGTTGGGGAGAATGGGAGAAAAGCTGGAGTTAAAACTGAAGTCGCCGGTCGGAGCCGAAGCTGCAGGCTACCCGTGGCCCTTACCTGTATATGTAAGTACTATCCATCTTATTGTTTTAATATAAACCGAATCCAGCACCGGGATTCCCTTGCGATAAAGCGAAGTGGGTCATGTAACGTTAGAAAAAAACGTGTATTAGTACGAGTGCATAATATGTGAATATCTTGTGTTTTTGTAGTGTGTTTATTTCAATATTAGTGTTTTAAGAACCAAGAGCCGCTTACAATTGGGACACGAGAGTGTCAATACATCCTAAAAGTGTTGAATATACCCTGAACGTATATATCTTCATAAAAGTGTTCGGAAGACCACTAAACATTAGATAGACTTGAAACGACATAGTCCGTTTTGTTTAAAAAATATATAAAATGTATTCTAACCTTAGCTAATATTAACATTTGAATCGCAGGAAATACATAGTGTGTACATCAAGCCCCGCCCATTGGCTTACTTGTGAGCACCTTCTGAAAAATTGCAGACTATGCTGATGCGAAATTACGTTACGTGTTGGGTACATGTGAAAACCTTGGACTTTTATGATCAGGCTTGTGGTCTTCAACCGGTAGAAGATAAAACTGTAAAAAAAAAAAAAAGCAATTAGATTGAGAAACGGATTCTAGAGTTGCAAATGTCATGGACACTTGATGGTAGGGGACTCTTAAACACTGTAGCAATGCCCTGGCAACCACCCAGAATGCCCTAGCATTTTGGTGACTAGCTGTTTTCCGCTTACATTTTCTTTTGAAAATGTATTCATCTAGTTTCTACTATTATTGAGCCCAAGATGCTGTCAAAAAGGCTTGTTTGGTGTCGTATCATCCGCTCTGAGTCAGACACCGTTCTTCTGTCTGTGTTGTTTCTGAAAGCATTGTACAGTCATTGCACATGTACAGTAATCACAACACACAGATTCCATGCTGTGATTAACTCCAGTGATGCTGAGCTGCTGAACCGGTTGACAGTGGGCCGAGACCCCCCATAAAACACACATATGCACTGCTATTTACCCTGTTATAGCAGGCAGTTTGAGTAGTATTTATGGTCTAAAAGATGAGGAAATTGCTTCATTTTCAGTGTAACAA